CCACCCACCCAAAAAAAATGAGTTACGGTAATTTGAAAAGCGAAGGTGTGGAGGCAGTCCGAAAAAGGGTCGTGGCTCTGATCCCAAGTGTTACGAGTGCAATTGAGCGACCAAACGATGATTGCACTATCGAAGCAAAACAGTACATCGAGCGAAGTAATGAGCGGAAGTTAAATAGCGAACTAGCGTGGTAATGGTAACGAGCGAATCGTGGGTTGCGCGACAGGCCTGGCGCCGAGGTTGGGAATTGTCGAGGCGGAGGGCCGGAGCGCGGGTTACCAGCCGAGCCGTGAGGTTGTGCCGTGATGTGAACGGTGGCGGGAAATGTAGTCGAGGGGAGTGTCGCGAGCAGGCCCTCAGATTGGTTTCAGGGTATGCTGATGGATCAGCGTGCCCTGCCCAAAGTCGTGACCAAATCAGCGTTGGGGGTTAAGTTTATGCTGATTTTGTCAGGGTAGAATTTCATGGCTAACTGAAATATATGTGTAGTAAAACAATTTACATCTCGAGTCCAGCACTACTGGCGTAGCTGTCTAAGGTTTCGCCCTATTACCGGAAAGGTCCCAGGTTCAAGTCCCGTGTGTGAGAGGCTTGCTGGTATGTGGCTGGGATTTCGGGCCTAAAGCCCCTTGTACTCGCACCCCACTGACTGTACCCTACACATTTTGGTAAGTCCGAATCAGTGTGACTCAGTACACTATACTGATGCTTCAGTGTTACTGGTACACCTAAACACTAATTCGTCAGGGTAGTCCTATACCGTAAGCTCCCGGATAGTAGACCCCCCGGAATACAAGACCCCCGGGTCTGTATTACGGGGGTGGGTCTTTTATTTTGGCAGGTTTTCACTATACCCCCCCCTAGAGGGGTAATCATTACTAGACCCCCCCCCTTATGGTTGTCACTAGTTTATAATGGAAATAAGATGTCTTTTCAAGTGCTTCACTAGCAAGACAAGTTTGACACCAATGCAACCTATTCACAGTTTGCATTTCAGAGATTTAGGGGGCAACAAGGGGTGAGAACAACATAAAAACAGTCACTCATCCTCGCCTGCAACCCACTCCTCCACTTCCTCTCCCTCATAGCGGCCTGCTGCCCACCAGTCGTCTCCATCCTCACTCCACTCGTCCGCACCTCCCATCTCTGCATCTGCCTCATCCCCCTCCTCATCCGGAGCCATCACATCCCCTTCCTCGGCAGCAGCACCCACCACAGCCTCCTCCCCTGCAAGCCCTTCCTCTTCGTCCTCTGCCTCGTCGTCCTTGGTGGCGGCGGGCTCAGGGGCGTGCGAGGGGTCTTCGTAGAACGGGTTGGGGTTCACCCCGTCCTCCCCCTCGTCCAGCACATCCTCCAGCACCTCCACTTCCGCCTTGTCCCGCAGGTGAGCGAGGATCAGATGATCCTCGCTCCCGTCTTCGGCACTGGAGATGCCGCAGGTGAGGAATGCTTTCTTCACCAGCTCCTCTGGCACATCAGCCCATGACTCGACGATCCACTTCAGGATCACTTCAGGGGGGGGCTTCTTCAAGTTCCCTGGAGTTCACAAGAAGGATGAACGGCAGAGATGTAAAGGCAGTGGATTTAATGCTGCCTAGTCATCTTAAAGCTCACAAGTCGACCACGACTCACCTGCACGTGTCGTTTGGCTGATCCCGACCTCCTCAAACCACGTGCTGTAGCGGTGGCGAACACCGCACTTGAAACTGCGGTTGATGGAGACATCAAGCGGTTGCACCAGGGGGGTGCAACCGCCAGGGATGACGGCACGCGTCACCTTAAACATCTTCAGAGTTTGCCCCACGGATTCCGTCAGGTGCCCCTTGTACGAGTCGAAGACAAGGAGCGCTTGCTTGCGCCGTCCGCCCTCGTCCCGCAACGGCTTCAAGAAGGGGACGAGCACCTGTGTTGTCCAATCCTGGACAAGGCGCTCGTCCATCCAGCCCTTCTCTTGGGCGCGGATGACGATTCCTGCACACGCCACAACTGGAAATTAGTAACGGAGAAACGAGGAACATAAGGAATCAACGACGGAAACACATCGGGCTCACCTGGTGGCACCACGATTCGTGGCACCGTCTTCCGCTTGAAGATGACATACGGGGGAAGCTTCAGGCCGTCAGCCGTCACTGCCAACATGACAGTGACACGCTCCTTCTCGTACCCGCCGTCCTGACATGCACCGTGCGGGCGCCTTTCATTTCGAGGGTGCGTTCCGCCGGCATCTCCAACCAGAGCGGGGTCTGGTCAGCGTTCACGATGAGGTTGAGGGGAAAGCGATGAACCATGCGCATCTGGCGGACGAATTCCCAGAAGGACTCCACCTTTCCCTTGCAGTCTGTTAAACACACAACGACACATGCGTTAGATAGCATTTTACCTAGACCGTTAGTGCAAGGGGGGGTGACAGGCAGCTTGCTCACCGGCGGCTAGTTTTTGCCCCATCTTTGTCTTCACGCGTTGCGCCAACGACCACCGCACGCGGTAGCGAAAGGTCCAACGTGCCGATGCGCGAAAATCGGCGGTAGGCTGACGGTGCTTCATGTACTGAGATGCCCATTTGCGGAGAAGGCTCACCGACACCGCCAATCCTTTGGCACGGTGCGCCAAGAATTGGCGGTAAACTGCTTTCTCCATCAGGGGCCACTTCGCCCTACGCCCTCCACCGTTAAGACGTCGGCAACAACCAGCGGCGACCTCGAGACGCTCCTTGAGTCGCCTCCACTCGCGGATTTGCTTGGGCTGCACCTTGGCGAGCTTTGCCAAGCCACGGATGCTGAGGTCAGGCTGTGACTCCAACATGGCCAGCCAGTGCAGTTTCTCCTTGGCGGTGAACGCGTTACGAGAGCGTTTCGTCATCCTATGACGAGGGGAAGGAGGTGCAGCATCTAGAATTCTTCGTTTCATGCCTTGCGGGCGACTAGACTCCGGAAAAGTAGGGATCACGACTCTAGGAAGTGGCGGTCGGCGAATGCCATGGGAACTTTCGCTAGGATCACTCGAGGAAGGTGAAGCTGTTGGCAACACTGGACGGGGTGAAACTCGTGCTTGCGATGCTCGATTAGCGTTAGTGGGACGAGGGCGCCTTGCGTGCGACATCCCTGAATCTGGAGACGTCACCATCGTGAACGATAGCTTACACCTCTAGCTACTGCTCTAAGTACCTCCTCCAGCCATGTTAAGACGACCATCCTAGAGCTACGGCCCCTAAGCGCACCACTCTGCCGAGCTGAAATCAGTTTCGTGCGTGGATTAAGAAACAGGCGGAAGAGAAGGATTGTGATGGGTGAAAGGATTGACGTGCCTCCCGTTGAACAATAGGGGTTCCTGCTGGGGCCACCGTGCAGCCCCTGCGCTCGAGCCGTGCATGTGTCAGGGTGTCGAAGTGGGATGGCACGCTGACGAGCCACAAAACGAATCTTAATGATGGAATGTGGTAACGTGCGATTTCGGCCAATGAGAAGGCCACAAACTGATTCCCCTGTGTGATGTGGCTACATCGCAGAAGCCGCACATGTGCGGCCCAAACAACAGTGAAAAAACAATGTCAAGCATCCTCATCAATGAGGCATTCGATTACACCTTTAAAAATTATATCAATTTAATAAGACCCGGGTACTATACAATCTTGTGCCGTTGACAAGACCCCCCCCTATTTTTTTATGAATTTTACATAAGACCCTAGGGTCTACTATCCGGGAGATTACGGTACTTTAAACTGAAAAATCAGTGCAAACATAAAGACACTGAAATTTCAGGGAAAACGAAAATCACAGCTACAAAATCAGCCTAATCAGCGTGTTTTACGCTGACATCTGAGGGCCTGGTCGCGAGGTTGTAACGGTTAATGTTGGGTATTATTGGCGGGAACGGTTGTGTGCGCGGTAATCAGGGGTGCGAAGTAAGAAAACAAAACCTACATTATGATAATGCCCACTCTGGCCAAGGTTCAGGTTCGGTACAAACACATACTGGTATACGAAACAACTAAGCAGCCTAACCACGCAAATCCACATCCCGAAGTGCACTGTGGACATGAATAGTTGCACCCTCATAGGAAAAGTTAGGAATCCATTACTTCACCTTGCGTATCTTCCCACAGAGTGCATTAGGGTTCTTGGAATGAAACACCTTAGTGTATTTGCCTAGTCGGGACACCGCAAGGGCGACCTGACTACGAAGGTCAGCAACCTTACACGATTGGTCTGTTTCACCAGAGTACTTGAAGCTGTAGCGCTTGCGACGACCGACCTTGTTACTCGTGATGTTAATCATAGTATAGCCAAACGAAGTTGTTGCGGAAGAAGTGCAGGAAGTTGCACTGCCGACAGTAGGGGCCGACCCACCAGAATTTAAGTTCAACGTGTGAAAACGAATTCTGATATTGTACAAAGTTGCTGAGTACCTGCCAACAGGACAAGGAGAAAGATGGCCGAGAGCGAACCAGGAGTGAGAAAAGGGGTTGAGAAAAGGGGAAGGGAAGTGAGGGAGCCGGTTGAATGGAATGTGGGGTTTGGGGGTGGATGTAACTCCTGCTGCACACACAATGGGTTGAAGGGCATCCGCTGCGCCTGTATAGGGGCGTTATAGGGGGAACGAAGAAGGGATGGTGGTGGGGGCGGGAGGACGGAAGGGCGAAAGGGGAAGGTGGTGCGAGGGAAGAGGGGAAGAGGAAGGTCGTGCAGGCTGAGACAGGGGGAGGAGGCCGGGAAAAGAAAGATGGGGGGAACGGTGCAAGGGGGGGGGGGGGGGGGGGGGGGGGGAAGGAGGGGAGGAGAGAGGGCTAGAGGAGTAAAAACTCCCCAATACGAACAATCATGGAAACAGCAGGTTTTCCTTCGCCCCCTAAACTCCAAGTGAACCAACTCACCCTTTCCCGTCGTATCCCTCCTTCCTCCTTCGAAACCGCAGTCCGTGATCGAGCCAAAACGCCTCAACCTTAACACTACTGAGAGTGAGGGGCTTCGTAGACAAAACGAAATATAGAAGTTATTGGGGACTCACATCACCCCCGTGATCACAAGTTTCGCAGATGCCCCTTTGTCGCCGACCACTTTGCCATTGACCTTAGTGGGACGGTACTTGACCACGTACTTCACTGGTAGTGGGAATCGCAGGGATAGGGGGAGGGACATGGAAGGACAAGTGGGGTCGAGTGCTAGTAGCAACACTGAAACGCCATCAGATGCCTTGACAACTTTTCAGTAATGGAAAATCGACATGGCTGCAAGTTCGTCGTGTAATTTACACGACCCAGCAGGGGCGACATGCAGAACCACATGCAACGCAGCAATCCACCACACAGTGAAGACAACATGAAAACTCGTTCGCTGAACATTGGAGGAGGTGGGCACATTGCACTTCACCTGCTGCTTCTACCTAGAGACTGGCAACACCGCGAAGCGAGGGCAGGAAATAGAGCGGCAAAGATTTACTCAATGCTTTCCCCTTCCAGGGTTTGGACTGAGGCGCAGACACCCCGCTGCCGCTGCCGCCGCCGCCGCAGTCGCGCGGGAAGATTGGTGTAGACGCGGCGGCAGTGAAAAACGCCGCACCTGACAGGGTGGCGGCAGCGAAGGAACATCATGAGGGGCGGGACCAATGACACAACACGCCGGACGCGGGAGACGCCGATCGCCACGGGCTACACTCACAGTAAGAGCCTGACACGTAGTAGTGGTGCTTACAGAGCAAGAAGGAGAAGAGACGTGCCGTGCGCCGCTCCATAGGAGGGCAAATGACGATTTCCGATATGAAAAAGTTGGTGCTACCCTGACAATGTACTCCGTCCCTTCAGCCTCAGAGGGCTGGGATGGGATCACGATATCCCATGGCACGGAATGGGTGGCCCTGCTAAGTTTGCCAAGCCGCCGCAAGTGGTGGTGGCGGCGCTTGTGACTAGGAAGCACGCCGACGCCGACGGGCTGTTGAGAGTGGCGGAGTCGAGAGGCGGGGAGCGCGCCTCATCGTTCTAGTGGATAGGGTTGACCCGGAGTTCTCCCCGAACCGAAGTTACACGTGTGTCAGATCCGATACTGCTCGGAAGCATCCTCGGCGGAAGCTTCGACTGCCCCTCTCTGTCGCAAACTGCAAGCTGCAACTCACTGCTGCCGCACAGTGCAAAAGTCGTTCTCGCCTTGACGGACAATTCACTGTACAAGTCAGTTGCTCACGCCTTTCGACCATGGTGAGACACCAACCAACCCACTACTATGTACCCGTGCAGGATTCAAATATGCAAGGACAATCGAGAGACAATTTTCCGCCTGGTTTTGGTTTCGGGTGCTGTCCGTGCCGAGTCAGGGCTGCGCTGGGGCCTTTCCCGGACGAGATCAGGGCAAAACTCGGCCCTGGCCCTTACGTGTACCTGAGATTCGGCGGACCCCCCCCCCCACCCCCCCCCTCCCTCCTCGTAATTTCCCATTTCCCAACCAACCCCCCCAACCTTCTCCCTCGTACTTATTGACCTGGGACCGCATCTGTCAGTGATGTTAGGGCGCGTAACCATTTTGGTTTTGACGGTTCGTTATTCGGACCGTCCGTGCGAAATGGTGGTTATAGCAATCGTTGGTGTTCGCTAGTTAGTTCGCAAGTAACCATGCGACATCGCTATCGCAACATAACCGAGTGGCACTTTTTCCCCAAAATGGAGGGAACCATCTAACGGACGGTTATGGTTTGTCAGAAACGAACTGGTCGAGTTTGCCGACTTGTGGTTGGCGCGCGAAAACACCGTGAATTTGCGGGAACAACCGAAGTGCAATGTCATCATTGACATCGGTCCCCATACTGGCTGTACGAAAATGACGAGTGTCGCCTGATTGCGTAACATTGCACATTTTCGTGAGTTTTCAAATCTTGAGTAAGGTTCAACCCGACGGTTCGAAATTTCGAGTTCTGTTTCGTTAAACGGACGGTTCCGTTCCGGATACGGAACCGTTTATTTATCTAACGTTCGTTTCTAAACGTAACTTCAAGAAAACAAAAACAAAATGGTTACGCGCCCTTAGGCTTGGAGAAAGGCTGATAGAACTATAAATGTTCGAACCAAGTTGTGGGGTGGAGTGGGGTGTTCTTTTAGTATCGTCTACTCAGGACGACACTTGCATCAAGTTCGGCGATCGATCGTGCAATATCGATCCGCTACCGCACTGAAAACCTGCAAAAAACTGTATGACCTTCTTAAAACCCGTCAAAAAACGATCATGCGGCAGGATCAATCGCCGTAATCGATGCAAGTGCCCGCGTCCTTAGGATGAGTATGGCTCCTGATGTCGTGTCAGTTTCCAGTTAGCGTAGTTCAATGATAGCCATGACTAAGACACTTATATTGCATGTTGATGAGTTGTAAACCTCAATGCAAATACGGGCAGCACTGTGAAGTATTAACTTTAGCTTAGAACGCCAAAAAGGACAACCCTATACACAGCCCTGATTCTATGTCCGGATATTCGGCCAAGCCCGTGCACGTTCAGGGCTCGTTTGGGCCACTGCACGTGAAAAACCGGGCTACTTTCCGTGAGTGTGGTTGGCCGACGTCGACGGCGAGGTGCAGCAGTAGGTGCCGTGTCCTTCTGCACGGCTGGTGCGGTGACTTGCGTGCTATGCGTTGGGTGCACGCAGACAGAGGTTCTGGGTAAACCTAGTATGTGGGGTGCCCAAGCGCGAGCGCGGCAGGGGAGTGTTGACGGGAAATGGCCCCGCCCTCGCTTGGGGGAAGCCAACTTCGCAGTCGGATGCGCGGAAGGTGCAGCCGATTGCCCGCAGAAGTCGACGCCGACCGCGCGCAGAAGTCGACGCCGACCGCGCGCAGAAGTCGACGCCGACCGCGCGTAGTAGTCGACCTCGACCGTGCGCAGAAGACCACGTCGACCGCCCGCAAAATTTGGCGCTGACTGCCCGCAGAATTCTACGTCGACCTGTCCGCAGAACTCGACGTCGACTGCTCGCTAAAGTTGATGCCGACCGCCCGCATAGCGCAACGTCGACTCTAGGCATAGCTCAACGTCGACTTAGGCAAGTAGGTCGACGAAGTTGTCTGGTCGACGAGGTTCTGCGGAGGTGATGGTCTAGCAGACCTTGCTCGACGGGATGCGGTCGTCATCGCCGCAGAGGATGCTGGTCGACGAGCCCGCAGAGGATGATGGTCGACGAGCCCGTAGAGAGGTATTGGTGGACGGGCTCTGCTCGACGAGCTTGTCTCAGCGAACGTTGTTCGACGGAGCATCGTCGAGCTGGTCGACGCAAGTCGCTCGACTTCGAAATCTGACGCGTGCGCGAATGTCGCCCATGAGGTTTTCGCGAAGTCGACCTGCGGAATGGCATCACATGCTCGACGGTGCATGGCTGGTGAAACCGTCGTCACGTTTTCTACCTGGCACCTGCGCAATGTGCATGGCGGCGCGACGTCTGCAAGCACCTACTTGGTTGGTGCGCACATGCGCAGAAGTTCACTTGCGTCTACAGTGCTGGCAGGCCGTTGCGGTGCAATGCTTGCATGCCGCCCTGCTGCAGCGTTGGCAAGCCGTTCTTCTGCTGCGCTAGCAAAGTTCGCCCTGCAGAGGGCTTGCTAGGTGTTGCAATGCCATTCTAGCTATATCGACTTCCATGCCTCATTGTAATCTACTATTCTTCTCAATTTCTAGTGAGACTTTTGCCAACTTTCTCTGCGAACACAGCAAGTAGTGAGAACACTAGTAGGACGCTACGATCACTCGCACAACCCCGTGCCTTCCTCCGTAAGTCCACTCCTGTTGTAAAGTGACTCCTCGCAACACGGGCCTGGTTTTTTTTTTTTTTTTTTTTTTTTTTACTGTGTCTGATGGATCGGAAATTGCTTTTGAAGCTTGTCTGACCAATCGAATACTATTCTTCACATTCCGTGTGCAATCGGAATAGAATTTTGAATCGGTCTGGACATGTGATACAAAAATCGACCTGTCGCTGCATATTTGACCTATCACAGCAAAAAAAATGCCCTGTCACTACAGAGTCGACCCATCACAACAGAAATTCGACCAGTCACAGCACAGATTTGACCTGTTGTGGCATATTTTGCCTAAACTCACGCTAGACTAACAATTTCTATCTCATATGAATCATAAAATACAGCTCTGACAAATCGGATGAAAACAATATATCATTCGTTTATCAATGAGATGAAATGAATATATACATATATATAAAGAACAATTTTCTGAAAACTCAAAACTAAGAGACAAAAATGTCTGATAGCGAGCACCCTTAGTAACATTATGTCTAGTTCTGATGGCGGGAACGACTAGACCGTTCTTAGTGACTCTACAATTGTAAACACAGAGAATTTGGCTAATAACAAGCTTGTAGGTTATATACCGAATTTGCAGATTGTAAAATGCAACAAGGAAACTTGCGCAGGGTCCATCAAATGAATCCGAGGCTCTCTGATTACAACTAAAGGCACGTCTTCTCGGGAACGTAAAAAAAAAATGCGTCATGCACGTTTGTATTGCTTTTGTGAGTTCCTTTGCCGCATGCTCACAAACCTTATATACTAACGAACGCGTAGAGTTGCTACCGCCATGCCTCCGCATGAAATGGTCCTCGTTTGCATTCCCGCCACCATCCCGTGCAGACGTCGGTCGCGCCCTCATCTTGTTGCACCCACTGCGTAGCGCTCCGCCAGGGCCCGCACCGAGTGACGCTGCCCCAGTGCGCGAACGCGAGGATCCACGATGGCGAGTTGGCATCGGTGTTGACGCCAAGGGTGTTGCCGCTGTGGGAAATGCTCGCCGAGTGAGAGAGGTAGCGTCGTCCCTAGCTTGTGTTGGTATGGCCTCCAGCGCCGAGTGAATTGGAGGCCGGTCTGCGTAATTTATTGAATGCGTGCTGAGAGGGTTTGCAAAATGACCATGTTGCCCCTGCATCACGCGCATCCCCGACCAATCCTCCTGCAAGACGTAACGCTCCTGCATGAGGAGTATTTCCTCGTCCTTAGCCCAGCGCTGCAATGTCGTCGTAGAACGCGTTGTGCCGGTAGCAGTAGTCCCCCCTGATTTCGTGTTAGTTCGGCCCACATATGGGTCTTGCTCCTCGTCGTCATTGGCGGAGCACTCCTCAGGTGCTTCCTCGCCCAGGTCGTAGTCGTCGTCTATGCCGTAAGGCTCGTCGGGCCGCAGGAGATTGTTGATCCACCACGTAGCGTTGCGCTGCCACAGGTTCACATGGCGGGTGGATGGCTCGCCTGCTGTCCGGATGGGTGGCGGGAGAGGATCGCTCGTCGAAGCCAGAGTATAAACATCCACGACTTGGTTGATACAAGGGGTGCTGGGCTCTGCATGCGTGGTTGTTGTTAGCACTATGGGAAGCCATGCTGTTGATGTCGTCAAGTGGGAAACTGAGTGGGTTTTGCTTTTCCCAACGGGATTTGTATTCCAGTCTTGTTAGGGAAGAAGGGGGTTGAGAAGATGTGATGCCTGAAGTGCACATTGATCCCGCTTTATTTACTATGTAATATGTGTACAGAGGATACAATAAAAAGCTAACTAACTAGCAATGCCTGCTACGCTAGGTTGAGACCCCAATGAGGTCTCAAGTAGCAACACCAAGGTACGCAAAATCAGCCAAGGAAGGTGGGGCGGGTTCTGGTGGCGCGGAAGGTGTGTCAGTAGTGTAGCGGATTTGTGTCCGACGGCAAATGGTTCTGGCCTGCTCGCGCTGATGCACCAAAGAAATCCTCTTGAAGTAGC